ATTCAAATAACTAGTTACTCAAGTTCAGTTGAGTGCTCTTGAAAACTTCATCAAATATTTTACAACCTCAATTAAAATAGAATGACTTTGAAGAAATGCTGGAGACTTTCTTTTGAATTTTTATTTTGCACTGAATTATTTTTACTGCTATTTTTACATGAAATGCTACTTTTATAGTGTGGAGTCTAGATAAATTGCTTTTTTGTCAATATGCCATGACATACTAATTTCAGAAATTCTAACTGGTGGGGAACTACTATCTATATACATCAGGATCTCTGCCAGTTACCCAGCTACTGTTGCTCAATTAACCAGAACTGGGGAAAGTCACACCAGTAAGGTCCTTTATGCTTGAGCCAATCTTGCTTAACGTATTTAACAATCTGAAAAATAGTTATAACAGCAGACAACACTTCCGGCTGATGCAAAACTGTTCAGGTTAATTTAAAATAACGTGTGAACACAAAAAGCCTTACAATACTCAATCATTGAAATGTAAAATGACAAAAGAAATCACATGTTAATGAACATAAAGTAGTGCATATGAGGAGGGGAAGGGAACTGAAGAACAATCTCTTTCATCCTACAGATAGAATAGTGAACTCTAAAGTATGTATTATCATTCACAGAAAAGATTCTGAAATCAAAATAAATAGATTTTCTGGAACGTAAAAATGAAATTTAATTTTGGGAATTCTTAAAAAACATGGACAGTGCAGAAAATATAATTCAAATGTATAAATGCATAACTTACTTGAATCTTGGATATTGTGTGCTGTTCTTGCAATCGCATCTTGGAACATGGGAAAATTGGAAAAGGCTTTTTGAAAAGCTGGGGAGAAAAAGTGGATGACTAAGAGGAGTGGAATCACTTCTGTATAGTGACAGATTAGATAGACTGAGTTTATCTTGGAAACGAGATAACTGAGAGAAGATAGAGCAAATAAAATAATGAATTGCACGAAGAGAGTGAATGTAGACCTATCATTTCAGTATCTCTTAGCAAACAAGAACTAAAGAGCTGGTGTTAATATGTCCAGACAGCAAGTTTAAAACAAACAGTAAGAAACACTTTTTCGTACAAAAAAATAATCAAACAATGTGTGAGACACTGCCACTAGATGTTGTAAAGGCCGAAAGTTTAGCTGAGTTCAAATAGGGATTAATGGCTACTTTTGTTTCATGAATTGCAAAAACATCCTGTTCAGACACAACTTCTGCCTTAGGAAGTTCCTAAACCACTAATTGCCAGAAGATGGGAAAGAGGATTTGCTCAGCTCTCGCCATGCCTCTTATAATCTTTCGTTATGCATCTCCTAATGGCCATGTTGGGAACAGGATAATGGGCTAGACAGATTTTTTTTTTTGGTCTAACCCATTATGGCTGTTTTTATTTTGTAGGCATAGATTTTTTTTCAGTAATGGGGAGACAAAATGGAAATTTTCAGCTTGTTTTTGGAGTTCAGTAAATGCTGTCTGGAATATGATCCTTAATAGCTAATTAGGAATGATCACACTTTTTGCTTTCCTTATTTTAATATAAAAAAAATTAGTCTACAAATTAATCTGCTGAATGCTTAGGAAGGTTTTTTCTAAATATGGGGAAATGTGGATGAAAGTGAATCATTTACCTATTTCATATGAGAAATCATGATATATGTGCATTTTAAGGGATAACATGTCAGAAAAGCTGATGTAGTGAGCAGGGTGAGTTTTCTGTGGTTCTGTCTGAAAGGAGGTGAATGGTATGATTTTTGCCGTTGTTGTGAGTTAAGGAATACTAAGCTTCGATGACAGAATATCCTAAATTCTACACTTGTACTTCTGACAATTAGTAGGAACAGAGGCAAACAAGCAGAGTTTCTTTAACATCGATACCTTTTTTGTACAACTCTATCAACCTTTACTCAGAGTGAAGATTGGCTTTTGGGGTTAAAGGAAATCTGAATGATTTTTTGGTTTGTGTTTGTGTTTTTTTTTTTTTTCCCTGACTAAACTTGTAGTCTATTTTTCTTTTCCATGTGAATTTATAATGTAGTTTATTTGTACTTAGTAAACAGAGATTTCATCAATTATCATAGTGCACTTTAGAAATGAAAAATACATTACTCTGTGTCAAATGAGTTTGTCCAGTAGTGCATGCAAACTATGCATGTCGTTATAAATCATGGTCTCAAACTTCTGAAGTTGTTATTTTTGTTTATTAGGAAACCTTGCTTCAGATCCAAAAAGGCAATAAGGAGACTACACATAGCAAGAAGAACGCGAGCCACAATCGATCATGAAACACAATTACACAATATTCAAAGCTGAGTGAAATAAAGACCTTAAATAACAGTAGCCTGTAAAGTTTAAAATTAAAAGTAGTTTCATCGTATGTGGTGAAAAGGGAGATTGGATCAATGAAACTCATCTTTTGTATCTCATTTGCTGTTGATTTATATGAAATTAGACCTGAGGTGAACCTCCTTTTCATATGCGTGTTAGAAAATTGTAGTTGTTTGTGGAATATTACTTCAGTGGTCTGGAAGGATATTTCTTGAGTTCAGCTGGTGTCAGTGTATAAATGGAAGCACAAGAATTAAAAAAGTCTTCTACTTGGTCATTCTTAGCTTGGCTAATGTAATTGCAGATTTTGTTCTAACAATAAGACTTTATATAACAGCACAGAGCATTACTGCTGTGATGCTGAGTTGCAACAAATCAGTATCCAGATTAAAAGAATGGGGACTATAATACGAGCTTTCTTTTTGTCTCTTCTGGTTTAGCATCTTATAAAACTGCTGCACGTGTCCAGAAGGTAGACAACAATTCATGATACTGTCATACTAGCTGTAAGATAGCAATAGAAGTTTGAAAAAATAATTAAGCCAAGTCTCTCTCGCTTTCACTAAATTGTATTTCATCTTTACCTCTTCTTTGCTTCTTCAGAATCCTTTAGTATCAATCCATCTTTCACTAGAAGAAGAGATATTAAGTTTTTGCAGTTTTTCATCTTAAGAAGACTTGCAAAATAATTAAGACTGAGCCTTCAGCTGATGAAAACTGTCAGAAAAATTGCTGTGTTTGTTGTAGATCAGAAATCTGAAATTCTTGCTGAGTAAAGTAACCCTTTTGGAAGTGTGTTGTGTATATGAATATTATCGTTCATGCTTGTGTTTATAAACAGGAACTGTTTTAGGCGTATAAAAATCAAAATCTCCTGTGCTGTGGACACTTGCAGTGATTCTTTGAACTCTTGGCCTCCTGCTTTGCTTTATTACCAGTGAATGATGTTGTGTTGAGAGAGGACACGATAAGTCTAGTGGAGGACGAATATTGATAAAGTCAGTCTTTACTATTGCAACCATGGCTAATTTCAGCAACCATCATTGAGAATCTTTTAAGCTTTTGCATAAAGATAAGGAAAATTTCAAGTAATTTGAAAATACATTATGGCTTGCTTTGTAACAATAGCTCTTGTCTTTTTCCCTTACCTCTATGTAACTTTCCCTTATATTTACGTATATATTTATACATATATCTATATATACTTATAGATCTACTATGGATATTAAAAATGTTTGTATATATGTATATATTAACCAGAGGAACTGGTCTCTTGTGACGATTGGGGAGGGGAAATGTAACCTGAAATAATCCGGACCTACTATTAAATCTGAAAAAAATTTTGGATGGATGATTTCTGGAGATGGACAGTGTGTGTTCTGTCCTTGGTTTGGAAGCGAGGGTCAGATGAGACACCTTGGCAGAGATGATGCACTTTCCTTGGGGAGTTCCCTCCTGCAAAGGGAAACAGAGGTCCAGCCTTAGGTGTGGTAGATTAGAGTCAAAATATAAAGCCGGGAGCCTGCGTTTTGTGTGGATGGTCTGAGACACTGTAGGAGGCAGCAACGGACCTGGCAGGCTGCAAGAGAGAGCAAATTTCCAGGCAAAGGGATCATGGTGCTGCCAGTAAGGAATTGAGCTAGATTTCAGCTAAATGAAACAAAACCAGGAGCCACAGCCTGCCTGCAAAGATGAAGTGGGTAAGGATGAGTGCAGTTGTACAAACTTTGCTCTGTCTGACCTAGGTTCCTATACCTGACCTTTATGTACTGTTAGATACGACATTAATAACACTAGTCATGTCTAATAAAACCTGACTCTGTATGTGTATATGGTTGGGGTGAGGATTAAGGCCTTTTAATTAGGATCTGTGCACCTCATTACAAGAAAAAATTCTCGGGATCCCTCACAAAGATGAGCTGAGAACAGCTCGGTACAGCTGCTGTCTCGGATGCCGTATTTGACCAGCTGGAGGGTGCAAAGGCACAAAATGTGGGCCAATTGCCCTTGTATCAGGGTGTGGTCATCAAGGAGTTTCAGCCTCGTTCATTCACAGCATATTTGCTGCAGTGCAAAAATGTGCTTTGGAACTCAGACGTGCAAATGGTACAGAGAGCAGCGAGAAATAAGGGGGAAGGTAAAGGACTGACTGGGAAATAGAATCCAGCTGAGGTTGAAGGGATTATGATATGGCAGAAACAGATATTGCTGAATGTATTGTTCACTGTCTTGGTTTGACTGTGTCAGTGTGAGTGGAAAGGCTTTGGAGAGGTGCTGCAAGGTAAAACTTTTTCTGCTAAGTGTCTAACAGGCGAAGTGTCTAGAAAAAGCCGACAGTACAGTCTATAAACAACAAGCAAACACATCCACAACTTTGCTCCTTCATCGTATTAAACTCTGAACGTACAAAAAACATTTTCCCCCAGAAGAGTACTCTAAACCTCTCCTGTTGATTTATTTCTAATCTCTACTGATTTTTCACAAGTAATTTTATAGCAAGGTATCTGGTGTAAAGGTGATTAGAAAACCAAAACCTGTGTTTGGAATAGAAAGCTAAGCGTGTCACTGTGTTACTACGAGCAAACTGTTAGTTCAGTTAGTTGCCTTTTGTCAATCAATTGCAACCTGGTAGGTGGATGCAACTGTATGGTATTGCTGGTGGTTATTCTAAGGTTGTTTTGCTTTACCTCATTCTTCCTTCTCTTTCTCTGCCTTGTAGCATGCACTTAATTCAGGTGGACTCTGTTCAGCGATGGATGGAAGATTTGAAGTTGATGACAGACTGTGAATGTATGTGTATTCTCCAGTCCAAGCCAATCAGCATTGAGAAGGATGAACAAAGTGAACTTATCCTTTCCTCACAATATAGTGCGTGTGATAATTTGCAGCTGCTATTAAAAAGAGCTTGGATCATAAGCACAGAGTTGACCAAGATTGCTCAAAAGCTGGAGAAGAACAGATGGCAGAGAGTCCACAGCATGACAGTAAGAGTCAACTGCCACGTGCGTTCAATGATAAATGAATACAATACGTTCACCAGGAATTCCTCAGAAGAAACGCATCAGGTAGATGCCTTACTTGATGCCAAGTTTGTCTTGCTTAATATTTTAATTATAATAATTAAAACTTACTTTAAACAATCTGTAAGAAATTTTTATGTACTGATACTGGTCCCTTGTTTAAGACTTTCTAATGCCTTTTCAGTGATGGAAATATGCCTGACTCATTTTGAGTCTTATTTTATCATAGCCCTGATTCTGAATGTTAATAATGTTGACAAATTACATTAAAAAAAGTTTTGGTTTTGAACACTACTGGACTAAAGTAATTAGATACCCCACCTGTGAGTTCCTTTGCGCTTAAGATGTAGAAAATACTACTTTTATTTTGACTTCAGTTTTATCTTTACTCTTCTCGTTCAGGAAAGCACAAAAAGGGTGTCCATAAGAAATATATTTCTGGAGGATTTTCACCAAATTATCATAAACATTATTTGTTTTTAAAAAGCAATTGTGTGTATGGATATTGCTTTAAAACTGATTTCTCTTTCTTTCTTTGCAGTTTGAAAAACTTTTAATAGACAAGTGTTCAGAATTTACAGCATTCACAGAAAGGTAATTTAAATTTTCTAGTTGAAATATTCATTTGGCTGTTTCATTATGTGTAGAATTTCTAATGAGAAGCACAAATCCACTAACACCTTCAAATGTTTGAACCAGGCCCCTGCAGCTCTGAAAGGCTTTCTAAATGTTAGCCTCTGGTGGGTGAACTGAGTTGCTTTTATCTAAACTGCATCCTAATAAAAGATGAGATCTGCTGTCACACAAAGAGCCTGACATAGACACAAAGCTGTAGGCAAGTGCAGTTTTGAGAGCTTTTAGACATCAAGGGATAAAGTCTGGCTCTAATGATATCAGTGACAGAATTCCCTTCAAGTTCTGTGGAGCCAAGATTTCAGCTGTTGTGAAAACTTGCATGTTGTGAGGCTGTTGTACTACATGTTCTTATATGTATGTGTCCGTGTATTAGTAAATCAAATCAAAATAAATACACATTCCTTTAAATTGCAGTTGTAGGTTTACTCAGCTCCATGCACTCCAGAATGCTGAGACTGGAAAACAGGAATCCTTTTATAATTCTTCTTCTTATATTTCCCCTGCCTCACATAAGTTAGGAACCGTTTTCTCCAGCACAGTTCAATCCATCTTCTTCAATTTACTTTAAACACTGTGGGAGTCATTCTGCTTGGGGGATCATAAGGGAAAAATACACCATCTAGTTACAAGGAAAGACCGTTTCTTGAGCACTATTGCTTTTTGCCAAACCCACACAGCTCAGACATTACTTTTATATTCTACTATGAGACACACCGATTTAATGAGAGCTCTGATCTCATAGCGTCTGCCCCAAATCAGCCCTCTCTCTCCTTGTCTTTTTGATTAAAAAGTGTCTCTTTGTAGGTGGAGACACTGATCAACCAAACTGTATCTTCCATAACAGTGGCCTGCAAGTGTTTAAAATCAATGCATTTCTGTGAGGAAGTATTAGTTATTTCATTTGAATTGTATGAATTTTTCTATCTTTATCTCATTTCTTCAGTTACAGCCAAATATCACTGGTTACAGGATAGTTATACAAACTCTGTAAAGCTGCTGTATGCAATCTTTCTGCATAGAAGGCTGAATGTTACGTTTAAGTATGCTGTTTAAATTTAAATGAACTTTACTCATCTGGACACAAATTCCTTTTGGGTCCTTACCTTGCTATCATTAAACTATGGTAAAGAAGGTAAAGAAATGAAAATTATTGAAAACGCTTCGATCATGAAAGATGGATGGATATACACAGCAGCAGTCAAAATGCAGGCATTCCAGAGCAACTGTAACTATTAGCATAAGTGTAAAATGGCAGAGTTACACTGGTATAAGCAAGCAGCATTTGCAGAAAAATTTGTCTTGCAGTCTGTGAAGTGAATTGTGATTCTTTGATGTTATACTTCCTATGTGTAGACAAAGCTTTGATTAAAGTCTGGTATGATGCTAATGGCATAAAGACAGTGTCCTTGCGAACAGTTGAATTCCCATTATATCCTCATTATTAACACAGAGCTCATCTATTGGCAATCAGCTTGATCAAACAATAGTTGTCTGTTGCATCTTTTTTCCTTCATCCCTTTCCTTTCTCTTTCTTTTCAGGTGTGTACAAACTGAAGATGAAGAGATACTGAAGTCCATGAAATCCTGTGTTAATGAAACGCTCACTACCATTGCTCAGTATTTTGGCCAGCTGATAGAGCTGGTTTTAACACATGAGGCACAGGTTAGTTTACAGTGTGTGTGTTTGTTTGTTTGTTTTTAAAAAGAGTCTTTAAAAATTTTTGAATCTTGAGGGAGACCATCCATTAAGAGGAGAATTAGAATTACAGCTCTCAATTTTCAGTGAACTTATGATCAGTAATTCAAAGATTTTGCAGAGACTTAGATGTTTGTATTGTCAAACTCTGCAATAACCTCAAATCTCAAACAAAATGATCTTCTGGCTCACTAAGTTACTTTTCCTATAGACCTCCTTCATTGCAAGGCATCTGATTTCTGGACAATGTCTTGTTAATGAGACCTTTGGACACGTTTTGTCTTCCTTTCATATAGACTGCTTTTCTTTAGAAACCTTGAAAAAAGTCTCTCTTTCTTTCAATGATTCTCACTAAAAGCTGAAGTTTTTAGAAGATGTACACATAGCAAGTATATCATTATAGCACACATTTTAACCAGTGTATGTCTTAGACTCTAGGAAGTAATGATAAAATACAGTGTTTTGTACAGGTTATACGTGTGTGTAATCTTCCAGAAACACTGCTGTATCATTGCAGGAATGATGTACGTTTTTCAGTGGTGATTAAATGTAGACAAATACACTGAGTAATTAGGTTGATACTATACATGTAGTGATTTTTTTTCCATTAGACCATTCTTGAAATAGTAGCAACTTGCAAGTCTGACCAATCTATCTTTATTTATACTGGTTTCTTTCTTGACATCTCATTAGAAATCCCTTTGCATCCTCTAATCTTCCTCAAATAAAAAAATCCCAAATATAATTATGCTCAGTTAATTTGTGCATATTTTAGAGGTGATGTTATGCTGAAATTTTGTGTTGTCCCTGCAGAAAAAGAAGGAATTAGGGCGTAGTGAAGAGGAAATACTTAACTAGTATTTACTATAGTGCTAAAACAAAATTAATGCGTGGTATTGGTTAAATTCTAATATTCCTTGATGCATTAAGATAGCAAAAAAATGTTGTGACTCTTTGAGAAACATCCCTTATAGTTTCAAAAGATTATTTCTAAGAGGTAGAATCTTCAGAATACATTTGCAGAATTACAGTCAAACTAAAAAGCTACTTGCTAAAGCACTTTGGTTAGGATTTATGAGAACTACAGGAAATGCCAGATGAGTTGAAGAGTGTAAATAATCTTGCATATTGCAAATTCAGTGAGTAGGTTGTGGTTGTTTTGATATAATTTATAATCTGAAGAGCAATTTCTTATTGCTAATATGATACACCTGAAATCCTAGTATCTTTTTTTTTTTTTAAGGGAGCAGAATTAATTGCTCTGCATCATCTTGTGTGTACTTGTGTGGCTGAAGACTTGGATTAGAGGTCATTAATAAAAACATTTTGAATAACAGTTTTCTGAGCCATGCAGTCGGACTGCGTGCCCACTTCTGCCATACAACCAAGTTGTCTGTGGGTAGCTTAGTGCTCTGGAATAGACCGAGTGTCTGTGTGAGAGGCTAGAACTCTCAGCTTGAGTGGTGTACTCAAGAACTCTCTTTTCTAATCAGTGTATCAGGATTTTATTCAGGAATTCTGTCAATGTGCAATGACACACATGCAAAAGCAAGATAACTGCTTACAAAGATAAAAATACTTAACCTACTTCGTACATTGGAGAAATCAACTATATTTCTCTGTAAGAAATAGGAATAAATATTTCTCTATTCCCTGTATTAGTCAATGACATTTTCTGTGTAGACTGGGAACAGTGATGAATCCAGAGCCTTAGAAAGTAGTGTTAGAAAGGATATAGCAACATTCCTTATAAATAAAGCGGGAATCTTGTATCACCTTATGATACAGCTTCTACACGAAGACAATTAAGTTACCTTCTGAAAATTTTAGTTCAGTCCCAGGCCAAACACATTACTCATCTACTCAATAGCTGAAGAGTTCTTCATCGAATATTCTCACACACCTAGCTGTTTTTTTACTCTATTTATATTTATCTATTAAAATGCAATAATAAATATGTTACAATGTTATAAGCATGACTCCTGCCCATGTTTTTTTTCCTTTCTCTGGGTTAGAAACACGATGTTATGGATTAAATGAACCAGACTTTCTAGTCCGTCTTATCTTTAAATATAACATTAATGTTTTTCATTGAAAGTAAATTATGTTTATTATCTTATGTCACACAGAACCTGCTGAGACAAATAGAATTGTCGGATAGTGTGTGCATCACTGAGTCAGCAATTAGTAGTTTATTCAGCCTTACCCAGGAAGGTGCTCATCTGTGCCGTATCATAGCTAAGGTAAGGGGATGTATGAATTAATCCAAAGTAAACTAGTAATACAAGTGAGTTATTTTACTTAACTTAACACAGTAGTGGTTGTGAGTTTTGAAATGTACCATATGAGATGAAATTGTGTATTTCAGGAGGCAAATAATCTAGGTTAAAGAACAAAAAAATTTACTCTGAGAAACTGTTTTTATCTTTTGCTGCTTTTGCAAGCCTTGCTCTGCAGAGTTTATTACCACAATTATCCTATTAGATTTTTTTTTTAAAAAAAGGGCTGCAACCCCCCAAATCTGTAATTTAATAAAGCTCAATGCCTGTGAAAGCAACTGCAGTAGGATAGTATGCTCCAACAGGCTTCTGGGCACTGATTCAACTACAGTTGTCTTTGTGCCACCTGATGCATTACTATTCCCTTCAGCATCCTGGGCATCTTTTTAGTGTCTTTCCTGACAGTGCTTTTTAAGTACAAGCCACATAAGTGGAGAGAAACTTTACAACTGGCCATGCATATGACTGATTATGCAGAGAAACAGCAAGACCTCTTCAGCTGTGTGTACAGAGGAGGTTAGAGATATTATTAAAGATGTAATTTTAGAAAGACTTTGCATCCACTGTTTTCCTTTTACAGAGGAACTTCATTACAGTTACTTCTGAGAGTTTGTGTTCTCATTTACTGAGTAGTTGATGCTAACTTTTGGTAGAAATGAATCATTCTGCCAAGATCAATGATACAGGCAATCTCTGCAGAGTTTGCATCTTTGAGGGCTCTTGGATCTTGAAAAAGTGAGAAAGGCAGGGCATTATGTGAGGTTAGGATAGAATAATCACAACTGCAGTGTATATAGAAAGAAGAAAACATCCTTTCCCACTTTCAGCTTCTGGAGTGTTGTGCCAATCCCTTGTCCTACTCAGAGATGAGGTTAAACAGAAGCATTTAATTCATTTAACTTCTGATCTGCCTTTAAATGGATGTTTGCACCGTAAAAGCTACTGCTTTGTTCTGAAGGCTGTGAATGAAGTAGACTGATAAATATGTAGTAGATCCTGGCAACAGCTTGAGAGTTTTGATTTTTTTTCTAAATTAGTATTTGAGCTCCACTCAGTGGTATCCAAAAACAATGTTAAAATTGAGTATCGAGGAAGGTGCAGAACTAACAAATTGAGGAAAATTGGTTTTGTGCTTTTTATTACTGTGTGAATTCTGTAACAGATTAATTTAGTGAAAATGAAGTCTGACCTTCCATAAATCACTAAATTAATTTATTGCTAAAACCTGAATGTGTCATAGGTTTACAGCTGAGGAAATGTATCCCCTTATGCAAAGAACCTTAAGTGGCATTTGATTGCCAAATTACATTGGTGATTGCATCACCTGTCCTATGTGTCTCTTTCATCTGTGCACTGTGAAATACATTTGTCCCAACTTGCCGTCATCCTTCACCCTCTGTATCGCCACAGTTATCTGCATCAGTGAGCAAGGTGGCAGAGGAATCATAACAGACCACAATTTTGAATTCAGTCTCTTGAGTAGTTAGCTATGGCAGTGAAAGTCCAGGGAGATTTGAGGGGAAAAAACCCCACCAACTCCCTCTCCTAAAATCGTGGAACTGCACTTACTCATTAAGAGGGTGAGAATTGATTCAATTTTTGCAAAGATCTCAAAACCTCTGACAGATAAAGAAGTTCCCTTGAGAGTTGTCATGTTATACTTGGTAAAAACTAGCCAGAGAATTGGAATGTTTGTTCTTAGTTAAAGCAAAACTCAACAAATTTCTTCACGTTATCTTGAAGTCTTACTCTCCATGACCACATGTGATCTTGTGGAACACTGTTAGCATTTTTCCTGTCACAAGTTATAAATTACTACTCTAAAGCACACCAAAATCTTGGACATGCAAAAAGAGAACCATAGTAATGTTGTAAAGCTTACAATGTTCCAGGAATTGGTTTCTCACTTTCTGTTCTGATAAGAGTTTCAGTCTTCTATCTCCGTCTCTCTCCTCCATTGCTAATACTTCACCAAAATTTAAAAAGGTTTTGAAATGCCAACCTGCCATGTTGAAGTGTCACCTATAATTTTATTCTACCTGGAGGCATTCTTCGACTTTTTTGGGTTTTTTTTTTAGCATGTAACTTTGCAAATCTGTTGTGAAAGAGTCATGTTGCTGACTCACCCTGGCAACCAGCTAGTCGTTCTCACTAGCTGTCAGAAGTATGAAGACTAAGATCTTTAACACAAGTGAGTAGTAGTAAGGACAAGATAAGAAATGAAGAGAGAAAGCCTAAATAATAATAATTATTATTATTATTATTGAATTCTGAGCTAATAGAATAAGCAATGTTGAGCTTTGAATGAGTTTTGAACCATAATATATAGTGTTCATCTACCAGTATCTAGGCTGGTGCAAATTAATGGAAAATTCACCAGTTTAGATAATGTTAAAAGCAAAAAGGAAAATGAGGAAAGAATGAGCAAAGTGGAGTATTTGTTGCAACTACAAAGGAAATGTTTCAGTCACGTTTCTGTCTGCAGATCAGTTTCCTACATTTGGAACCAAATGTTGCTAAAATACTCCTCTGTCAAGTCTAATGATACATACTTCAGCATCCAACAATAGGACTAAGTTGCTGTATCATTGTCTGGGGTTGCATTGCAGGGATGCATTCACAAAAGTTTTCTTTTATTACATTATATTTATTATTTTGATCCTGGGATCATTCATATTAAACGTTGTAAATTAGTCTTTGTTGTTAAAACTCTGCCTTTGTGTTCCGAGAGCATAAGGAGACACTAAAAACCAGAAACTACAAATTTTGAGTGGACTTGAGCAACTGTCAAAAATTAGCATTACTTGAAGTAGACTAGTTCTAAATTGACTTGGCTTTGTAACAACAAGAAGAATCAGTAAAAATCAGTTCCAGAGTTACAATAGATAAATGCTGGGACATAGAGTGATAAAGAAAAAAAGTCTTTGTGAATAAATCCATTTCACTGATAATAAATACCAACTGTATTGAACTAGGTGCTATAATAATAGTCTCCCAAAAGAGAGAGGCAAAAATGAAGATAATGAAGATACATCTGGTATATCTTGGCCTTACCGTCTTTGTATATCAGTTCCATTTCTAGCAAGTATTTATTATGAAGATTTATTTGGAGATCATCTTTCAAGCTAATTATAAAAGTTCTCCTCCATCATGAGGAAAGCCTTGATGAGAATTCACTGCACTTTGAGTCGTTTCAGGTTGAAACTGAAAAATATTACACCTTAGAGTCGGGTGCCTTTTCTCTCCCCTCTTTATTCGTTCAAATCACTGTGCACAGTGGGGCTTTTTATACTTATGACCTCCTTCACATGCTTTTTGTGATTTTATTTCAGGTGATTTTGTTATCTACTGCTAGCCCTTCTGAACAACATCTCAGGGATATCTCCACAAAATTGAATTCCTGTTAGTTCAACATAGGAGAGAAGTAGGTCATCAAGTAGTAAAGGAAGTTCTCCTCTCTTTCAGATACTGCTTCACAGAGTATGTGAAGCTTGTCCCAGATGAAACTTGAATTACAGTAAGAGCAGCATTTCATGTGTTGTTTGGTCAAAAACTGGAAATGAAAAAAAAAATCTACAAAGGATAAATAAAAGCACGCTTTAAACATATTGGGAGCTTTTGGAAAGGTGCAAGTTCATCTCCAAAGCAAGTGCTGTTAAGTTTCTTTGACTGAATGGTACTGTTTACTCATTTGACCAATTTATGTGCATCCCTGTTAGACAGTTTTGTCATCATTGCAAAAGATACAGGGGACAAAACTTGAAAAAAGTGAATAAATTCTGAGGAATGCTGAGATTCTAGTGAGAGGCATGTTTTTGACAACCCACAGAATAAGACTCAGTATTTCCTACTTATTCCATATTTCACTTACAGGTCTCTAAGTTCATTACTCATGATCAATATTTTACAGCTTGGTAATGGCACACAGGGCACAAAATAAAGAGTTCGGATCTCCTCCTGACAAATGCAGTGATAAATCCCCTCCTGTCCGTCAGAGGAAAAAGCAGGGCACCTATCTGTCGTATATGTGCCAGCTTTACTTGAGCTCGACTAGTGTTGTTCATAAACTTCTGCGTATTATGACTGAAGCAGAGCATTGGATCATCTCCAATTCTGCTGAACTGTGGGGAATTTCAAACTGATAATAAAATAAAAAAATCCCATTTACCTTAGGTTTGGGGACAACACTGTAATAGCTTTTTTTCCTGTATTTTTTCATAGATAATTTAGTTACTGCTTGGGTGAAATATCAATATCCTTTTGTGGAAGGAAAAATACAACTGCAACATTTTTTTGTTGGTGTACTGCGTCTTTTTTATTTTAAAGGTTCAGAAATGTCTTTCTGCATTTGGCTATCTATAGTAGTACGATATAAAATAACTCATACAGATATATGTGCAATTCTTAAAATTCCAGAAATAAATTTTTCTCTCAGTAAGCCTGCTGTTTTCACTGATGTCACAGAAACTACATATACATGTGCAAAGACATTATATAAAACTTCTATCTTGAAAATATATTGAGTTGTTAATTTTAATTCTAATTTTCTTATAAATTGGCACATATTTTTGTTAGACTGAACAGATAGCTTTGCTTGCTCTATTATTCTCTGTTCTATTCCAGCAGAACTAGTATAAAAATACAGAATTCTGAAAATGAGTGAAGTCTGAATTGTAGTCCAGAGGTTTTATGCAAGTAGAACCTTGTGATAGTTTGATGTGTGGGGGGGTGTTCTGGTGGCAGGAGAGGGGATTTGCTCCCTGTGCCACCAGATCTGAGTCCCATCCCCCTCGGGGGGGGGGTTGAGGTAAATTGGCGCCTCTGCGAATTGCCCTATTTAAGCTGAGACAAAGGGACGGGAAAAGGTTCCTTTTGCCCAGGAGCGAGGAGAAGGGAGGAGGGCGCTGCCCTCGCTCCCGGCTGGGCGGCTGCCCGGGCTGGGCTGGTGCCACGTGTTCAAGATGGCGCTGGCAGGGCCGCATGGGGGACTCGGGAAGCGCCCCGCTCCCGGGGTGCTCGCCGGGTCGAGTTCCCCCAGAGAGGACTAAGATCTAAGAGAAACGACCACACCGACACCAGGTCAGTCAAGATGGAGCAGGAGGAGGTGTGCTGGAGCTGAAGTTTCCCTGCAATCAGTAGTGAGCTGGCAGGCGGCCCCCCTGCAACCAAGATAGACTCGGCGGAGCAGAGACCCACTTGCGGTCCGTGGAGAAGCCCACGTTGGGGAAAGAGATGCCTGAGCCTAGGAGAGGTTGTGGAGCAGGGGGATGCGTGACCAGGTACTGTTAATAATGGGGCATGGGATGCACGACGAGGTTGTGAGGCATCTAGAGTTCGTGGGACGACCCACGCCGGAGTGAGTGGCAACAGCTCCCTAAGAATCCGAGACTGTGGTGAAGCCCGCATTGGAGTAATCCGATGGGGAAGGGTTGCATCCTGCGGGTAGGACTCAGCCTGAGAGAAGTTTGTGGATTTTCCTCGTGAGTAGGGGATCCACTGGAGCAAGGGAAAAATGGTGTAAGGACTCCTCCTCCTTTAAGAAAGGAGCGGCAGTAACAACATGGATGAACTGACCTGCACTCCCCCAGTCCCTGTCCCCCTGCGCCGTTGGGGGGAGGTAGAGCCAGGAACAAAAGGAGAAAGGAGGTGGGGAGGTGTTGTTTTAAGATCTGGCCTTCTTTACTCTTTATCCTCTCAAGTAACCAGTTTTGTTCCCTTTTGTCTTTGTTTAAGCAACTGTTAATAAGTTGTTTTGTTTTAAGAAAAAGCCTGAGTCGTGTTTTGCCTGAGCCCATGGTTGGTGGGTGCTCCCTCTCGGTTCTTGTCTCGACCCTCAGTTCCTTTTATTATAAAACCCCGACAAACCTGTTGAGCTTTCAAATACTACAAATGATTGAGGAGAAAAATATCATTTCTGTGAATCTGAAAAATATTTTTATATAGAGGCTACTGAAACAGGCTTAAAAAAGAAGGGTGTATATTACACTTGGTCCACGATTTCAACTATTTTTAATTTACTACTGTAATCTGAATACTTTAGTCTGAGATTAGTATTTTAAATGCTTTCCTCTTCATTATATGTCTGCTTTTACATAATATGAGGCATCTGTAGTCTACCTGTTGGCATAACATTTTGAAATGTAGGACAATCCAAAAAAAACCCCCAAAACCCATCACATGAAGTGCATATATTGTCTGTATTTATTTGTCTTTCCTTTTATTATGGGAACTTTGCTAACACTTATCTGTTTACAAGCTTTGTTGGAAACTATTATGGATAGCTACTGTAAGGATGCATAGTCACCAAATCTTTTTCATTATTGCCACATTTAAAGAAAAAAATGTAAGAACACAAATTTTACGTGTTAGAGGATGAAGATATGGATTGTATCTGCATAGGACTTGACTCCTGTTTCTACGTTATTTTCAGTAGCTCTTCAACCATATGATTCTCTTTCATGTTTTCGCATTAAGTAAATATTGTATGGAGCTCAGAAATGTAGACAAATGGGAAATATATACTAACAAAAATCTGTTTTAAACTAATAGCATATGGTTGAACTGTCACTTAAATGTCATTCCAAGTGCTGCCTATTGATAATACTTTGTAATTTTCACATGAATGTCAAGTTTAATGTAAATTGTGCTTGTAATTGGTAAAAGACAATCGCTTAAGTACACCTCCCACTGAGGCTATATTACTTTTTCATCACTTAGTGTATAAGCATTAATCAACTTGAGTTCTCTGTGTGAGCTTAACATCTTCTTTGTTGGTGTTGTGATGATAGGTAATTTGGATAAATTACTAAAGGAATCTGCCCCCCATCCCCACCTCATTTAAGTACTAGGGAAACATTCAGTGCTGCTTTTCTGATTTTTGCTTTTACTTTGCAGGAAGGAGGTGTAGTTGCTCTCTTTAAGATCTGTCGCCAGGATTCTTTCAGGTGCCTTTATCCCCAGACGCTGAGAACATTGGCATCCATTTGCTGTGTAGAGGAAGGGATGCATCAGCTGGAAAAGGTAGGCATTTCAGTATCCTTTACCAGCTGCATCATAAAACACAGAAGTCCTGTCTTTAATCTCTTCTGGGAATTGATAACTTGGTGGTTGATACTGTGCTCCACAATATGCTCACTTTTCCTGTGCTGAACACGTCTTCAGTCTTTATAAAATTAGTCCTAGCAATAACGTAATCCTAATCAGTTGTTTGCACAAATAAGCTTTCTAAGTGGGGATAATTTTCATGAAGCATGTAAATGCGTTAGTGACTACGTCAAAAAACGTAGGGAAATTATATTTTCTGGACTCTGAAGTGTTTGTTTAGAAACTCCAATATTTTAAATGATCCTTAAAAGGTAGAAAGCTTTATACCTCTTTAAGTCCTTTCCTGACGCTCAGGTAGGGCACCTGCTTGTGGTACTGCAGTAACTTACGAGAGTTCTAAGTGCACAGAAAGAACTGAGATAGATACAGCAGCTAGCTAATAGAAAAACGTGTCTGCTAATCGGCGACAGGTCTCATAAAAGCCAATTTTAACTGGGATGGAAAATATCAAAACATTATCCAGCCAAAATTATATCAACTGCTTAGGCTCCATTCCTTTCTCACTCTTACTACGTACTGCTGTGTTTTGGAAAATGAACACTTCTGGTCACTAAATCATGATCTCATCCTTTGTATTTCATAAAACGGTCATCTTCCACAGCTGAATAATAGCCTCTTCAAGTTAATGATAAATGATTTCACTGCCACTTTATATTGACGTATCTTGTAATTTACTGCCCAGAATTCAAGCAAACTGTGACAGAACATCTGCAGCAAAAAACGAGTCTGAGCTTACAGTAAATGAAGATGACTTAAATTTTTTTTGACATAATGCTGGTTCAAAATGACACCAGAATCAGTCTAAAAGGATCTTCCATTATGTCCACTGTAACAGTGGAATTAATAGAGTTAGAAATGGAAAAGATTGATTCAACTCACCTGGTCCGATTCCTGGCAATGTCAACATGCATTTAATGTGGCCTGTGTCACAGCTGGTGAAACAGGAGTCCTAGAAAAAGTGATAATTGTGAAGCTCATATGTTGTTGATCTACTTTAATATTGGTCACAAGTAAAATATCTTAGGGTAAACTTTGTCACAGTTAGGGTTGGAGTAGGGTTTAAAGGACTTAACTGACATTTCTACCACTGCTTTCAGTAGCTCATTTTTCACCTTGACCTTCAATTCTTAAATCACATCTTAGCAGAACCTAAGGCTGCAACATGAGGGGCTGGACGTTAATCCGTCTCACCTGACCGAACAGACAGGTTTGACAGAAGTATTTGGTTATCACTTTGTCAACTTCTTTGCCTAAAATTGTGTTGCTGAGGATCCATGTGTTATGTGGGTCCAGTACATGCCTGGCTTTCTGGTGGGAGAGAATGAGATATTTCATATATCAAAAGAAACAAAGACGTTTTCTCTGCAAGGAGGTTAATGTCCCTTCAAGCACTAATAGAGGTTAAACGACACAGGCTGGTACAATGCCTTGTCATCTGTAAACGATCTATCAGCTGCTAACAGCCCAGGTTTGTTAGTTTATAGAGCTAAGGAAGGATAGTAAACAAGAAAGTTTTACTACTTTTGTACACTCTTTTCATCCTTCTTGTACGCCTTTTTAGAAGCAATAAGATATTCTGACTATAAGGAAGCGATGGAAAGGGCATGGATCAGATGATCAGTATTTTGGTGTAAACAGCACTTCATTTTTTTTTATACTGTCTTCTTTAAATAAGAATGGTTTTTTTCCTTTTAAAATCTGAAGTACTCTTGCAAAGAACAAAAAAGAGGGTTAACAATATTAGCATTCCTATCATTACAGAAAGGGCAGCTTCTATTATCCAACTAAGTACCCGTGTGGTGGCGAAGCATTTAATTTGCTCTAATGTGAATATCATTATGCCACCTAGTGCATTAAAACATCAGTACAATTTGAACTTGATTTTTAATGACAGAAACTTCATTTCAAACAAATAAAGCTTGGCTTCCAAACAATTCAGATTAGGTAATTCAAGATAAAAAATAATTATAAACCCCCAAAATCCAAACAAACCCCACCTTCTTTATTTTTCGATTATATTTCACAACCATTAAGATGTTTAAAACATCACTTACAGCAATAAGAGCTATCATTTCCAATGGAACATTTGTCTGAGAAATGAACTTAAAAGGGTTCACTGTATGTGTTCTGCAGTAATTGCAATGCTTAATTTACTGAAGAAGTTTGGAATTTTATTTATTTATCCAACACTTTCTGATCTTGCCAATTCAGTAGCAATACAAGAAGGTAACAAGAACATCTGTGTTTATGTAGATGGTTATTTAGAAAGCAAGAAAGGAAGTCAGTAGTTCACAGGAAACAATCCAACTAGAGAGTATTTTAACATTTTTTTGTTGGGTTTTAAGATACCTGAATATTAGACTTTCTTTATAATTAGTGCAAATTTAATGTGAGTAATGCTGTACTGGGTTTAAACCATTTGTCTTGAGACAGTTTTTTGATTGCAATGTGGAAATACTGTCCTCGTTTACTTATGAAGGAGCTCATTCAGTGCTCATTTCTAAAGATTTCATAGATTTCATAGATTTCTAGGTTGGAAAAAGACCTTAGAGATCATCCAGTCCAACTGTCCCTAATTCCCCATTAAACCATATCCCTAAGTAGTTCATCCACCCTTTTCTTAAACACATCCAGGGATGGGGACTCAACCACCTCCCTGGGCAGCCTATTCCAGTGGCTGACAACCCTTTCAGAGAAGAAATTCTTTCAAACATCCAACCTGAACCTCCCCTGACTAAGCTTTATACCCATTTCCTCTTATTCTATCACCCATCACCAATGGAAAGAGCCCTTCCCCCACCTCCCCACCATCCTTTCTCAAGTATTTGTAGGCTGTAATCAGGTCTCCCCTCAGCCTCCTCTTCTCCAGGCTAAACAGCCCCAACTCCCTCAGCCGCTCCCCATAAGTTTTATTTTCCAGCCCCTTGACCAGTTTAGTCGCCCTTCTTTGGACCCGCTCCAGGATGGATAAAATTGCCTATTTTAAGCAAAAAGATTTTCCTTATTTTAAAAAAAAAAATAATTCTTGTTCTTCCCAGTCATGCATCTTTAAATCTGTATGCACTATTCTCTAACCAGCACACTTGAAAAAGCCATTATTACTTTTTCATCATCTTGATAAACAAGATGATCTCTATAATTAGTGACCAAGTAGTTGTTGCAATGACTAACTTTTACTCTTTTAGGCTGTATGTACAATATTGCAAAATCTGTGGGTTAAAACGCCAGTTTATAATAGCTATTATTTCACTTGCAAGTACTTTACTGACTTTTGAGTACATTGCTGTACATTGAACTACAGAGCTCCAGAAACTCAACAGTAACAAATTTGTCAGGCAATTAAAGTAGATAGGGAAGAAATAGTCTCATTTTGTGACTGAAGACTTCGTGTAAATCAATGTTGTTCTATGTAACCCATGCTCCACAAGCAGTAATCTTGGTGCTTCAAGCTGCTTATGGATATCTGGTTGTTTGGTAAACTTCAACTTCATAATCCACTGTGAAACCAGCAGGCTTGAGACCGTTCTTTGGTCCAACTTCCCAACCAGTCCCACTTCAGACAGGAAGTGCAATCAGAATTTTCCTCCTTTGCATTATTCCTGTAGCTGCCTGTCCTTGTACCAAAGAGAGCTTTGTCATCTGTGTCTTGTGGCACTCGAGCATGCAAAGTTTTTAGGAGAAAGCTCACTGCGTTAGAAAGGATGGTTATTCTTGGTCTAAGCATTTCAGAGTTTATGCAGAGACAATATGAAACACAGGTAATAGCTAATACAGAAAATAGCTAAAATTGCTAAAACTAGAAGGAAAGTTTTTGGGAAACCAGAAAGGAGTATGGAGGGACGTAAGCATGACTGGAAACTGAAGAACAGTGTTAGCGCTGCACACGCAGGCTTGTTTGTGTACCTAGCCCTGAGGTTTAAGACACAATACAATGATGTAGAGGGAGACTGGTTCTCAACATAGATATTTGTTGAGGGTTCTAGAGGAAATAATGTCTTAATCTTCATGAGTGTGCTTTGAAAACTTAATTCACCTCAAGGGTTCTCATGTAGGAAGAACTGCTGAAGGCACAGAGTTGGGAAAGGTTAATGTGCATTTCACAAAACTTAAGGAAAAGAAAAAATTGTGACCTTGATTGTCTGACATGTATATCCTGTAAATTACATTAGGAATAACTGTACTTCAAATACCATTTTAATTGTCAAGACACACAGAAAATTTAGAAGATGATGTCTTCAACATGAAGCAACCTTGCCTGGAAAAAGGGTTTGTATTTGAATACAATCGTACATCTTTAGCACATTGTTTGCCTAAAATGGTTCTTCAGCCCTTTCCCTTCCTGAGGCTGCATTAGGTCCTTGTTTGCAGAACTCTCTGAACAGTATCTCCTGCCTACATGTTGACATGCAGACTCATTAAAGTCTGAAGACTGAGGCAGTTTCTCTGCCTCAGGTCCGTCCATACAATGTTTGTTGTTGACTGGTGCTAGAAGGCACAGCTTTCCAATTTTTGCCCTACACTGGAGATCAGTTGGGTGATTTTTCACTGAGGCAAACTTTCTGTTGCAATAAAAGAACTGCAAAGTTAGTTCAGAAATAAATAGCAAAAAGTGCAATGTACTGCAATTTTTACCACGTATGTGAAACATGATTACATTAAAAATTGCAGCTCAGCTGGGACCTAGATCAAGGCTTCAATGCCACAAAAACATAATGATTTATACAAATAGTCATTGAAGCAGCTGCCTAAATATTACCACTGTGCAATGTATGTTTGCTTACACTATTTAAACTACTCCAGAATGCAAGACACCTGGAATCAACTCATTGAGAAAAGATACTCCACAGAGACTGGTGACAACAGTTGTTACTTTCATTACTTAAACATTTTTAACAAATTACACAGCTTTTATCATT